GTATTTAAATGTACCATTGGTCACAGTGGAATCTTGTAAACTAAACTGCGTCACTATTATCTTTTGGGAAGCAATTATGCTGCTTAGTGATATAGATATTTTGGATGGATGTGTGACCGATATTATGGTGTTTGGGAAAATGTTATGATTACAGGATTGAGTATGGTTCCATTTTTCGAAGGAGACTCTGTCAAAATTTTCAAAAAGAAGAATAATAACGAAAATGGGGTTTTTATTAGTCAAAGGAGACCATGCAATTGAAGTATTGTTATAGTTGCCTTGATGATGGGTCCAGTGCTAAGCTGGCACTTATCATCGGCGCACGTCACGTCTTGAGTCTAGTAAGGAGTTTGGGACGGGGCATGACAGTAGCTGCTCACAAAGTCCAGAGGTACATCAAGTAATCACCTGGACAAGGACTATTTTATCCTACAAAATCAGAAATTCAACTGGAAGGATATTGTGACTCAGATTGGGGAGCATGCTTGGACACCAGGAGATCAGTAACGGGCTACTGTGTCTTCATTGGAACAGCTTTAATATTGTCGAAGTCAAAGAAACAATAGGTGGTATCTAGATCTACTGCTGAGGTAGAATATAGAGCTATGGTAAACATTTGTTGTGAAATAACATGACTCAGATTTTTACTTAAAGACTTACAGGTTGAGCGTCCCCAAGCAGCCATTCTGAATTTTGATAACAAGGCTGCTATTCACATCGCCACAAACCTGGTGTTCCATGAGAGAACCAAACATATTGAACTTGACTGTCACCTGGTTCGAGAGAAACTCCAAGATGGCAGTATTATTGCTCAGCATGTTCCTAATGGATCACAAGTTGAAGACATTTTAACTAAGGCATTGATCAATTCTCAAGCCTTTTACTCTCACCTATCCAAGATGGGAGTAAACGACATTTACTCTCCATCTTGCGGGGGGCTATTGAATTTGGAAGAACTGAATCAGCTGGAGCATATAAGTCAGCTCCAGCCTTTACACAATCAGCAAGAAGGATGCCAGCAAGGTAGTAAGCAAGGGAATTACGAGCAGGGACCACCAACGAGGAAGCATCTAGAAGGAAATTAGTTGGGTTGTTAGATTTATTCTTTTTCTGTTTTGTAGCAGTAGATTAGTTAGAATTATTCCATTATTGATGTATATACTGAGGATCAATTACTGTAAATGGATATAGAATTCTCACGAGAAAGATTTTCTCTCACAAGAGGTTCAAAATCTAATAATAACAGAATTCCCTACTCTACCCATTTCCCCACTTAAACTTAGCTATTTAAAATAACATAACTGAACAAGTTGATGTGAATTCTATCAGGTGACTATCAGTTCCCAATAACAAGAATTTCCATCACACTAAGTCCAATCTCAATTACACGGCTTAAAGATTTTCTGTCCTTTTTTGGAGTAAACACAACAAGGGACACTGCATAAGTAACTGCAGTCGAAGTTACTGTAAACCGCTTATCAAAACAAGGATTCCGCTCCATACAAATGTGGTTGATTGCATCACTGAATATCATGTTATTGCTTATGAGTGATTTACTGTTGAGGAGTAGTATATATGGATTACAATTACTGCAATTGCACTCACTTATATTTTTTCATTAACAGCAGCAATAGCACCGGGAAATCCTGGACTAGAGCGTAAATCACTTATTTCTTGTATAGCCATTATCTAGGCTGGTCTCATGGCTCTCCTTCTTGGACACACGATTCGGTTGATAATTAAAGATTATAGAAGTTTAATCAAATCGTTGAGGCCGAAACCAATGTTTCCTGGTTCAGAGTCTGAAGTGTTCTTAATAAGTATTTTCATTTTGATTTCTATTAATAAAGCCAATTCAATGATCATGGCTGAATGAGATAGCCCAACAAAACAGACTACTCATTCTGAAAAACTGAAGTGGACATTCTGGTCCAATTTTCATTTGGCATGTACAACTCATAATATGTTTTGACATAAATAGAATTTCACACACTGCATATAAGTCCCACGATATCTCTAAAGAAACCAAAATTCATGTCAAATTCACTCAAACACCTTCTTGGTTAACATTTCGGTTTTGTACTTCAACCAAATCTCTAAATCTTCTTGGCCTCCACACGGTTATTCCTCGTTTCTGCAGCCACCAGTCGACCAACCTAACAGTGTTCCCAACAAGCAGAATTGCCATCACGCTACTCCATACTATGACTACAATATTAATAACATTGTCCAGTGATTTCATATCCTTTTTTGGTGTAACCACAACAATGGATACTGCATAAGTAAATGCAGTTGAATTGACTGCTAACCACATAATCACCATCAAACTCCACATAAAAAACCTGCGCCGAAAGGGCAAGCCACTTATTAAGAGCAGGATCGTACTAAGAGATGAAACGAAGGCTATTGTATTTGTACGAATGAAACTCTTATACTCTACAGGATGAAGATGCGCCATTACAGCTTCTCCAGGTTTGTGGGGATCTGTTGCATCGCCTTCCCAGACACCACCCGGAGGGGTCACCCCGGCTTGGAAAGCCATTGTAGCAATCAGAATTGCCACCACCATTATGGCATCGCGCTTCTTGGCTAACCATTTTATTGGCTGAGTTTGAGTATTGTTGGAGTTGCTGGCCCAAGGCTGAAGACAGTTCTTAATGGACAAATAATTATTAGCATCCCTCCAATATGTAGGAGTTAGGTCCAAAATGTCCAATGCTGTGTAGCCATTTGCATTTTTTGCATTCACATCTATGCGAGTACTTCCCATTAAATACTGGACTGTCTGCATACATAAAAATGCTTATGTATATTTGCATATAAGCATAGGGTAAAAGTTACCGGAGATAAGTCAATTAATTAATAACTACTCCTCATGTTATTATACTAAGGTAAAAATTGCAGCAGAGGTCTCCAACCTATGACCTGTGTAACAAGTTGGTCCATAATGTTTCTGTTACATTTAGATCCTCAACTCCTTATTTTGGCACTAGTAGTCATGGAGGATGGTTTTTATCCAATTATTGGTTAAAATGTCGCTTTTTGATTGAAAATACAATTATACTCTTACTTTAATTAGAACAAAAACTAAAGTAAATAAATAAAGAAGAAACGGAACGAAACAAAGTAGAAGAATAAAAAAGGCAAAAAACCAGAGGGGTCGAAAGTCAAGGGTGGGCTGGTGAGAGATTATGGTAGGTAATGCAAATATTTTCTTTCTTTTTCCCTTCGCCTTCTCTTTTTATTTCTTATGAAAATTGTTTGCATTTACCTATTGTATTTGTATGGTTGCAACAATACTCCACATAACTTGGACGTTCCAACTATACGGTAAATTGGACTGCTAAAAGTGCAACAGAAGTGAAGTGGTGAAGTTTTGAAGATCTCAAGTAAAATCTTTGGACAAAGTTACTGCAGACGCCATAGATTAGGGACCTATATTGCAATTTTTCCAATATAATGAATATCTCAGCTCCTAAAATTTTAAACAAGACCGTCTTACCTCAAAATGTTTAGTCCTAACAGCCAGATGCAATATTGTATCCCCATCATCATTCTTTGCATTGACAAACTCATAATCATTTATAACCCGCAATATGATCTCCATAACCTGCAACTGCTTGTGTTTCACACACAAATGCAGAACGGTCTGTCCCCGGTCCGCCTTCTCCCAGACAGCAAGTGAACTCGTCTTGATCAACTCATTGAAGACCCTGACTTGACCATTAATGGCCGCGAGATGCAGTGGATTTCTGCCATGGAAATCACGGGCTAAGCACATATCAGGTGCAGCAGATACTATTGCTTTTACAATTTCGGCATAGCCTTTAGCTGATGCTATGTGAAGAGATGATAGTTGTTGGGAGTCTAGTTCTGCAGCAAGTAGAGGATTCCTTTGGACAACTTCTTGGACGAAGGCTGTGTGTTGGCATATTGTTGCTATGTGTAAAGGAGTCTTGTTGGAACACGTAAACGAAACTCTATCAAGAATCAATGGATCTTCTTTGAGTAAATCGAGCAAAGATTTTACGTCTCCTTTCACTGCTGCATCGTAGAGCCTCTTTTCCGCCATTTCTTTCACAATAAAACACACACAAACACGCACTAGAAGAACACATACATACAGCTTCTTGCCTGAGTTCAACTCTTATTTATGCGAGTCTATTGAATTTTTATTTTCTACACAAAAAAGAAATTTCTTGGTTATAACTTTGGACGAGAGGGAACCTTCCTTGTATAAGACGGATTCACATGTTTGCTCGATTTACTTGTTCTAGCTAGTATTTGCAGGTATGAATAATTTGACTGGGTAAACCAAATTTATGATTGTTCAACAGTTGAATAATTCAAATTGTATCGAAAAAGACTTTGATGACAACTTGCCTTGGAAGTTGATAAGAAATGAGGAGGAAAAATCTGGGGAAAGGGATCAAATTAGTGGCTCAAATTTTTTAGCGCCTTTTTGATAGATATTAAAATTAAGATATTTAATTCAAGTTGTAAATACTAAAATCTAGTTAATCTAACAATTTGTCTCAATTATTCGTTTCAAACAGATTTCGTCAGTTAGTCGGAACTTCTTACTGGCAGTTTCACACTCAATTATGACTAACGTGAGTTAACAAACTAGTGTTCTGCGAAATTTAATCACATGCAGAAATAAAAAAGAGTGAATACCAGATATAGCGTAGAGGAACATTCTCTCCATCTCAGTGGTGAAAGATTTTCCCGTTGTATAGATCAGCTGTATGATCGCATTACTAGTCTTTTAGGGCTATTGATGAGCTAATAGACGTTAAAGTGGGAGAAAATGCTGTATCAGTTGCTAAAATAGCAAATTACATGCGAACTTTTTTTGATGCAAAGCGTGAACCTGAAATTTTGGTTCCCGCAAGTAAAATGTTTGGTCACTTGGCTAGAGATGGTGGGGGCAATGACTGTCCATGAAGTGGAATGCCTGGTATGTTAAAAATTTATATGTTTTTTAGCATGACAGTATTTTGGAGGCCTACTTCTGATACGACTTGTATTGAAGAATGTGTTGGTACCACGGTTGCATTGTTGTTTGATAAAGTTGTAATTATTAGTTAAAATTCCTTTTGAAGAATTAGAATGAGATGTATCTAATTTAATTTTGTTTATTGCCTTTTCAAGCATATATTGTTATTAGTATTTGATGTGAAATGAAATATAATTAGATTTTTGTAGTAAACAGCTACAATTGTATATTTCTACAAAACAATATTGATGCATATTTTGGAATTTATTATTGGCGTGGTTATAATTGTTCATATTTTTAGTTCAAAAAATAATGCTATGTAATATGTATACATTTAAATAAATATTCAATGAATGCTATAAATATTTAAAACTGATGATAGATAAAGAAAGCTATTGAAGTTGTAATCATAATGATTAAAGAATGTTATTAACGCCAAAACTATAGTGAAAAGAACTCTATAAATCCAAAACCATGACGATAACAGAATGCTATGTAAAAGTTTTTCATAACACTTATTAATAGCATTTGAAAAATGTTATAATAGATGTACGGCTTTTAATAAAATCACCTACAATAGTATTTGGAAAGATGCTATAGAACATGATTGATAGCATTCTTCGCAAGCTATAGATGAATTGATATGTTAAGGGTGTGAAAAATACAAAATGTTAAGATGCAAAATCAAACCAAAGTTGAAACGAAAGCTGCTTCTGAAAGCTATACAGTTGCCATTTTTTCACCAAGTTTAGCAAAATTCATAGGTTGGTAGAATAGAGAAGAGAATATAGACTAGGTTAACGAAGATCTGATGTCATGTAAAACTAATAAACAAGGAATAGAGAAGAGAATTGAGACTAGGGTAACGAGGAGGAGCCACAATCTTAGGATGTGATTAGGCATCCATAAGAGGAGATGAAACAACATATGTATTGGGAACCAAAGTACCAGTATCTAGGAAACTATCGACCGGAATCCTTAAGAATTATGATATGAGTGAGAGTACATTAGTGTGGAACAAGGGATTGAACAATATCAGTATCAAAATTGAATCGATCAATGTTAATAAGATTAGACTTAGTTATATTGTTGGCCTATAATTAATAGGTCTTAGGATAACCTTGGTTTTGATACCATGTTAAAATTGAAAAAACAAAAAATAGATAAGAAAAAGGAGGTTAGGTTTTCTTGTTTAATTGCATAGCCAAAATATGTAATAAATAAATCTTTATATAATACGGGTAATTATATTCGCACCACCATTTTTATTTCTTGCACCACATTTTAATTGCACTTGAGGTTCTTAATCTTTGATCAATATAATACGTATGTCACTAACGATTTTTCATGTCATTCTTATCCTCAAACTTTCCATTAGTTAACACATTTTGTATTTAATAACAGTTTTATATTCAAAAGTCAATTAATGTGGCGCAAATAACTTATTTTTCCATCATATATTTAAAATAAATAAATAAATAAATAAAAAGGGTGAAAAAATATTTTTCCCTAATTTCAAAACATGAAAATAAATAATTTTATTTTGAGGAAGATTCTTGGCAACTGCAATCACAATCCTTTCGATTCACAGACTTATCATCTTTCTTCATAAATTCCACCAAACATTTCATCTCCACTAATGGACGATTTTACTTTTCTATGCAGCTTCCAATCTAGACTGCTGACTTTTGAAAGGACTGGTATGTAGACTAATTTGAGGAATTCAATTCTAGAAAGTTAATGATCAATTGAATTATTTCTTAATTCAATAATTGTGTATTTATTTATTTTTGAGACGTTAATTTGCTTCCTGGTTGTTCTGTTGGGACTTGATGTATTCTTTTTCATAGGGTGTAATAATTAAGGTTAGAGCATCTCCAAAAAGTGGATTTAGATCTTCCTGTTGAAGCAGAATTTGGATTTAGATCCATCGGGAGGTAAATGAAGATGTAAAAATAGTTTTGAATATATTAATTTACACTCAATTTTACACTACTATCGAAGATGCTCTTGGATTGGGTGCTTAAAACACAGTCTCTGAGTCTTTTAGGTCACCATACGGTTCCATGGTCTATTAGCCACCGGTCGGCCAACCTATGGTTATCCTCTGTTCGTGGTAAGATCCCATTCGAGTTGTAGATTTATAAATGGTTGTAATTGTTTGTTATGACTTATGGAAACTGAAGGCTGCTGTGTTGTAATGAAGGCCCCAAATGATCACTGTGCATCCATGCATGCATTTACGTAGATGTATGTGAATAAATAATTGAAAAGAATAAATTATATACATTTAGTGTGTACTTGACTTTGGTTACATAAATTGTGCAAGCATGCATACATTTATTTAGGTCAATGTACTCAAATCTATAATTATTACTTTGCATGCATGGATTTACGTAAATGTCTTACTACGAATTGGATTGCACGAATTTAAATAATTAATTGCTCCTAGAATAATTGAATAGCACCCTGAATACATAAAGTGTACATGGAATAGCCCCCAAAATTTATGAATTATAAATAAATGTTAATTATTATTATACATGCACATGAATTAATCTACAAAATATAAATAAATGTTAATTATTAAATTGTAATAGGACACATGGTTAGTAGGGTTATAATGGTCCAAAAATTGATATAAAATACAGTCATAATTGACTGATAAAGTGATTGCAAATTGAAAATTCAATGGTAGATGCAGTACGCATCGAGAGTTAACTTTGAATAGTTTGAAGACAAGGATTGGAACGTAGAGCCAAAGAATCATACATTTCTTATTTTGTTGTTTTGTTTATAAACAAAGAAACCACATGTACCTAAAATTGCTGTTTTTAGGAGCCTATTTAATTATGTAGGTACGGGCCATTATCTAACTCACTAATATTTTACTCTAACTAGCTAGGGGCATGGTTCATACGAAGTTTGGCTACACTCAGGGGCGGACCCAGCACTCGGCCAGCCCCCGCGGCCGGCCGTGCTGGATCCGCCGGGAGCTTGAGTGAAGAAGCCGTCGCCGTCCGCCAGAAAATGGAGAAGAAGCCCGTGAAATTTTATTTTTTTTCCTTTGTTATTGTTTGGCGGTTTGGGCGTATTTAAAATAAAGGCCCAACTGAATGGGCCCAATCAATTAGTAAAACCATTAGCCACAACCCACAAGTCCACACCCAATTCCAAAATTGAAAACGGCGAGAGGAGAGGGATTTTGGGACTGAGACCGTGAGACGACGACTTCTTGTCTACTAGGCTGCGGACTTGCTGGATGCTGCCTTAGACGGCCGATATTGAGACGATGGTGGTCTGGTGGTGGACGGTGGACGCCTAAAAAGGCTGAACTGACTTGGTGTCGGAGTCTACTGTCGGTGAACGGTAAGCTAGTTAGTTCTTTGTTTCTCTTTTTTTGTTCTTTTTTATTTTTTATTTTTTGTGAATTATGTATTATTAGAAATGAGATTTGTGTTGTATACTTGTATTATTGATTTATTGTTCAAGAGAGTCGCAGACTAAGGCTATGAGTAATTTTGATTTGTGATTTGTGATTTGGAAATTTAGGTTTTTACGAAATTAGGGATAAGTGTAAAAAATTAATAGAGAGATGTTGGCTCAATTAAACCATGTGTAGACTTTTTTTAATCAATTTTAACTGAAAAATAAATTGGGCAATTTGCACATTATGAAACGATTTTTTCAATCGAAACGAAAGTCCATACCTAGTTTATTTTTTGTCTAGTTGTGCATCTGGTCCCGATTTTTTCAACCGATTTTTAACATTATTTAATTAAATATTAATATATGATCTCGTTCTTACGATCGCTGATTGTCGACGTTGATCGATCAATGTCTGTCCGGACTGAGTTTCAATGCTGGCTCCGCCACTAGCCAAGAATTCAACGTATCAAGATCATTATTGTAAGATTTAGACATGAAGGAAACATGATATCTGATCCACAATTCAATCCAATTACGTGTGAAAAACTACAAATCATAAGACTTTTTAAAAGAGTCTCGAACATGCACTTCATTCACTCATTGTTTAACCGATTGAAGTTGCCTAACAAAATAATTAGTTATTT